CTGTGGACCAAGAGTTCAACAGGAAAAGTAATGAGCAAAATCTCCGCGCTGGCCTGAGCCAAATAGGGCCATAGCGCCATTACAAGAAGAGGTGAGAAAGAGCGTCTCAGGACCATTTTGATTAAATTGTCATGCTTCAGGTTGGGGCTGGCTAGCCGATCGACTCAGGTGCATCCAGGACTTGCCGGGTCCTCCTCTGGCTGTCACCATTTCACTTGGACGGAGTGAGCTCAGCTGCAAGGAGAGGAGGGGCCTGTCCTTCCTGATGACTGAACAGCTGAGCAGCTGAGCTGTGGGCTGTAGAAAACACAAGAGCATAGATGACTCCAGGTACAGGGTCTTGCTACACAGCTCGGAATTGTAGTGATCCTCTTGTCTCAGCCTCCCCAGCTCTGGGTTTATAGGCATGTGCCACCATGCTTGGTTTAGGTGGCTTGGTATGCAGTACTGGGGATCGAACCCGGCAGGTGCTTAGCCCGCAGAGCTACATCCCCAGCCCCTCCTTTTTTTGATGGGCTACAGGGTGTGACAACGCAGAGTCTGCCCTAAAATTCTTGTCTATCTCTGTCTCTGTCTCTCTACCTATTGACTGTAGAAACATTAAATTTTTAAATAATCTGAAATTAAGGGAAAACAACTCCCATCTTACCTAGATTCACTACTTGGCCCCATTTTGCTACATTTGCTTCACCTTTGCAGTTCCTCCTCTATTCACAGGGATTGTATTGTGTATTTCCGGAGAATAGGGATATTCTTTTGCACACCACAGTGAGGTTATCAACATTGGGAAGTGTAGCGTCTATTAATGCTTACTATCTGATGCACAATTCCCATTCAGATTATTACAATTTCCCAGTGAGGTCCTTCACAGCAGGTTTGTCTGTATCCCCCAACCTCATGGCTTCTTTGGATGCAGGATTGTGCCAAGGATCATAATTGCATGCATTTTCCTGTCTTTTAAATCTGGAAGGTTTCTTCAACCTTTCTTTGCCTTTTATAACCTTGATACAGATGCTCCTCAAGTTGCAACAGCTGTGGCTCCTCTAAGTGCAGCAAATGCAAAAAATATTGAAAGTAAACCAATGCATTTAGTACACCTAACCACAAAACATACACTTTAGAATATGGTCATTTCCCCTTGTGCTTATCAGCTCAGGAGGAGGTAAGGCCACTGCTATTCCCCAGCATTGCCAGAGCATCATACTGCATATGGGTAGCCCAGAAAAGGTTGGGATTCAAAAAGCTACAATTTTTATTGATAACATGGAGCTTTCCCACTAGAAGGAAGTCAAAGCAAAACAAAATAAAATAGTAAGTCGAACCATTATAAGTTGAACCATTGTAAGTCAGGCACCCCCTGTATTTTTGAAGGATAAAAGTCATAGTTTTTTTTTTTTTTTGGTGTGTGTGTGTGTGTGTGAAATGTTTCTTCATGATTAAATTAAGTTTATATGTTTTCAGCAGGAAACCATAGATGTCATATGGTCATTGATCATATCAGGAAGCACACGAGGTTGATTTATCTCACAACAAGTGAAATTTATTTGGATTAGCATGAAGTAGGTAAAGTGTCTGCCATGGATAAATTACTATTTTTCCTTTATAATTATGTAATAATCTAAATCTTACAAATATTCTGTTCCCCACTAAACTTTCACCCAATAATTTTAGCATTCATTGATGTATTTCACATGTTTTTTACAGTTAGTAAAAATAATTACTAAATTTTACAGCTAGTAAAAATAATCTGGATACAACAGCCAGATTCCTGGAGATGCTGCTGTTGGACATAATTCTGGACGACCAGATTGGATCCAGCCAGACCAGAAAGAAGCCAGCTTCCCTGGAGTTGATTAGAATTTGTCCAGCTTTTCCTTGCTTCAGGCCATGACGGTCTTTTTTTTTTTTTTCTTCTTCTTCTTCTTCTTTTTTTTTTTTTTTTGGTGGAACCAGGGATTGAACTCAGGCCCTTGTGCTTGTCAGGGAAGTGCTTATCCCACTGAGCCATCTCCCTGGCTCCCATGACAGTCTTCTTCCAAGTGGCGCAGGCTGTTTTGTGATAGAACCAAGGGCAAAACACAACCTTTTTTTAGCCATTTGTCAAATACAGAGAGTCTGCTCTGAGTCAGGCTCAGTTTAAGGGAATATGAAAAAACAAAAAAATTACTTAGTCCTTGCTCAGAGGTTGGTGGGAAGACAGTTATGGGGACAGGGTATGGATCAAAGGGCAGATTTTTGGAATTGATAAAACTCTTGAAGACATAGGCATGAGGCAAGGGCTTTCTGAACAGAACCTCAATTGTTACATAATACCAAGTATCAACAAATGGGATTATGTCAAATTAAAAAGTTTCTGCACAGCAAAGAGAGAAGAGAAAATTTACAGAATGGAGATTTTCTTTCTGATAATCAGAAAAGAAACTAAAACTTTAGTTTGGAGAGTCAGGGGATCTTTAAAATAATTTGAAAACTATGGATTGCAGTTGTACATACTGGCATACAAGCAGACGGACTTACATCATGTAAAATCACCCAGAGAGTGTAGAGTGATGATTTTGTCTAATAAATATGAGCATCCTTTCCCTTTCTGGGGAAAATACTTTGCCAATTGATTTTTGGATAGAGGACTAATATCTAGACTATATAAAGAACTAAAGAAAAATCAGACCATCCCAAAATAAAAGATCCAATCAAAATATAGATACATGAAATAAATAGGCACTTCTCAGAAGAAGCATGAAGGCCAATAAACAGACGAAAAAGCATTCAGCATCTTTAGCCATTAAAAAATGCAAATCAAAAAATCACTGAGATACTACCTTAGTCCACGGAAAATGGCCACTGTCAGGAACTCAAAAACAACACATGCTTGTGAGACTGTGGTGAGAAAGGAACCCTTCCACATTGTTGTTGGAAATATACACTGGTACAACCACTAAGGAAATTAGAATGGAGATTCCTCAAAAAATTAAAACTAGAAATTTCATTTGACCCAGCTATTCCTCTTCTGGGTATCTTAAAGTCATTGTATTACAGTGGCTTTTGGGATTACCGGTATGCACTACCATACCTGGTACAGCCAATTTCCCTCTATGGTTTACATTTTGTATACAGTGATCCATGCACACCCGTGTTTATAGCAGCACACCTCACAATAGCTGAATCTTAGAAGCAGCCTGTGTGCCCATGAACAGCTAAATAGTGCCTATGCACGGTGGAATGCTGCTCAGGAAATCCTGAGTCCTCTGTAGGAACATGAATGTGTTTTGAGACCGTAGCGCCAAGTGAAATAAATCAGACACAGAAATTTAAATATCACATTATTTCTCTAATAACAGAGACCCAAAATATAAAGAGCAAAATAAAAGAGGTGGAAAGAAGCAAGGAGGTAGGCTCTGGGGAGATGGGCAGGAGATCAGAAGAAGGAAGGAGGGGTGTGGTGAGAGGGGAGCCCAAGGCAGAAAGATGACCATGTGAATACCACAGCCCCAAGTTGAATGTAATTACTATTTGTTGCAGACATATACTAATTTTTTTTTTTAAATTCAGGCTTTAGGGGAGTTGAGGACAACTTCACAGAGGAAGTGTCTTATTCTGAAATAATTAGCAATTCATGGAAGTTGCAAAGCTGATACAGGAAGGTCTCATACTCTATCTAGTTTTTAATTTTTTTTTGAGATAGGGTCTCACTATGTAGTCCAGTCTGGTCTCTAATTTGTGTAGGCCTGCATCAGCTTCCTGAGTGCTGGGATTGTAGGTGTACACCACCATATGTGGTACAGCCAGTTTACCTCTATGGTTTACGTTTTGCCTACAGTACAATAGCAAAGTCAGGAAAATTCACATTAGGACAGTGGGCATTATCCTATGCTATTTATCATATCTATGCTTCTGTATCCACTATCACTATCAAGATACAGAACTATTCCAGCACTGTTGATGAAACTATTCATGACATGTGCCGCCATATGAACTATTCTGTCGAATGTGCCTCTTCAGAGTTTCCGTCCTCTCAACCCCTCCCACCTTCTCTGGTGAGTGATAGCCACCAATCTCTTCATTCTCGCTTCAAGAATGTTTTAGAAAGGAAATCATGCTTTTGGCGAACTTTTGAGATTGGCTTCTTCTTTTTTACTCAACACAATGCCCTTGAGATAGATTCAGTAGCCTACTCCTTTTCTTCCCTGAATCATACTTCATGGTATAAATATACTGCAGTTGGTTTAACCATTTACCCTTTGAGTGACATTTTGGTTGTTTCCAGTTTGGGGCTATTACAAGTAGAGTTGCAATGCATAATTATGTATAGGGTTTAGTGAGGACATCACTTCCATTTCTCTGGTATAAATGTCTAACAGTGTAATTGTTGGGTTTTGTGGTAAGTGGTACTTGTTGGTTTCAGAATTGTTATGTCTTCATGATAGATGGACTTTTTTTGAAATTAAGTAAATTTTATTTTAATGAAATTTCATGTGATTTAATACTCATTAGGGTCACTTTAATGAGGCTGTCTTCAGAGTAGCCCTTTTTGAAAGAGCTGAAGCTTAATCTAGCCATCTCATCTGCCTTGCCACAATTCTTCTATCTCCACTTGAATTATGGACTTTGACAACTGTGGTTGTATATCCAATTTCATCCAGCAATACATTTTTGGAGCCTAGAATTTGAATTGTACATAGTATTGGTATTTTGGCACATGACCTAGATTTTGTATCATTCCTTAACCTTTTATTTCTAATACTGAAAGCCTTTTTTCAGTCAGTATTAGGCAAAATGTTATAGGCCTCGTTGTCACCACTGCAAATATTTATTGGTTTTTTTTTTTGGTTTTTTTTTAAATTTTTATTTATTTATGTGTGTGTGTGTATGTGTGTGTGTGTGTGTGTGTGTGTGTGGCCAGCTCAGCCCACCAGGGGGTGGGGCTGGCTGGCATGTGGTGCTGGGGGATTGAACCGAACCGCGGTCCCTGTGCTTTGCTAAGCTTGTTCTAAGTAGGTGCTTTAGACCACTGAGCCATCTCACCAGCCCCAAATATTTATTGTGATGAAAGCATGACCTGTGTCTCAATTTTAGCCACATTGACCAATTCTGGACACCAATCAACAGTGCTCATTCTAATCCAGAATGAGGCTTCATAGATGGACATTTTTATAAGTGTGCAATACAGCTCTTTGTGCCGGGCAATTTTCTCTGCTATGGTATCAATATAACCATCCCTACTCTCATTTTATTGATATCTGTATAAGTACTGCATGCTAACCAATTGCACCACTGGAGCATGCTTTCTTTTTATTAATATATGGATGGTATATATATTTCCATCTTTTATATTTAACACATATGATATATACGTGAATGTATTATATGGTAAATACATATCTCACTATTCATGAAATGATTTCTTACAGACAATATGTAGTTGGTCATTTTTTTTTTTAGCGGAACTGGGGATTGAACTCAGGCCCTTGAGATTGCCAGGGAAGCACTTAGTTGGTCTTTTTTTTTTTTGGTGGAACCGGGGATTGAACTCAGGCCCTTGCACTTGCCAGGGAAGCGCTTATTCCGCTGAGCCATCTCCCCGGCTCCTAGTTGGTCATTTTTTGTGTCTTGGCATTCTCTGTCTTTTAATTGATGTGTTTAGAGCACTTACATTTAATGTGTTATTGCTATGTTAAGAATAAGTCCAATACTTTATTATTTGTTTAGTGCTTGCTCTCTTTTTTCATTTCCTTTTCTTTTTCTCATCTTCTTGTGGGTTGCTTTAATGTATTTCAAGACACTATGTTGAATTTTGAGTGTTCTAGATATGCAGATTTTTTTCTTTATCACTGAGGATCAAACCCAGGAGTATTCTATCAAGGAGTTACATGCCCAGCCTGTTTTGATTTTGAGATGGGATCTCTTGAAGTTGCCTGGGCTGGTCTTAAACTTTAGAGCTTCCTGCCTTAATCTCTCAACTAGCTGGTATTACAGTGTGTGGTACTGTGCCTGATTAATTTTTTAAAGTGGTTAGGATCAGTCAGATAGCTCAGAGAACTAAAGTGCCTGCTTAGGCAAGTGCTAGGGAACTGGCTGGGGTTTGATCCCCATGCCGTGCTGGCCCCACCCCCAGTGTGTGCTGAGATTGCGCAGTTGAGACTGGGCATGGTGGCACATGTCTTTAATCCCACCTCTTGGGAAATGAAAACAGGAGGATCACTATGAGTCTGATCTGCACAGTGAGATCCTATAGACCCTTTACTAAATACATAAAAATGTGGTTATTCTAGTTCTTCATTTTATATATAAAAATTCACTATGTAAACATTTACTAGTTGAAATAAAGTATAGAGACCTTATCACCCTTTATATTCTTTCTTCATTCCTTGGTTATAATTGTCTTAAGTATTTCTTGGATGTACATTTAGAATCACTTAAGGAATTTTATAATTTTTTGCCTTAGTGTCAAAAATAATTTAGAAAGCTCAAAAGAAGAAGGACTGTTCTTTTCACTTGTGCTTTTACACGTCTTCCTTTTTAAAAAAATTTAAGTGTATTTGGTAGAAGGTCTCACTATGCAGCTCAGACTCATAGTGATTCTCCTGTTTTTAGCCTCCCCAGTGCTGGAATTACAGGCGTGCAATACCATACCTGGTCTCTGTGGCTGGTCCCTGAGCTTGCCTAAGCAGGCAATTAGCCCACTGAGCTATCTTGTGGGCTCACACATCTTCCTTTCTAATGTTGCAACATTTCTTCCCTTACCATTTATATTCTGTTTAGATGACTTCATTTATCCATTCTCTTAGAATAGAAATTTTGGGGACAGATTGCTTCATTTTTTTTCTTTATCTGGGAATATCTTGACTTCCTCATTCATGGAGGATATTTTTCATTGGATACAGAATTTTACATTGAGTACCTGCTGTTGTTGTTCTAGTACTGAAAAATGTCACACTGTTCCTTCTGGCTTCCCTGGTTTCTGATGAGAGATCTGGTATTTCAATTGTTGTTCTTTACCTGTAAGTTATGCATTGATTTTCTTATGGCTGTTTTTAAAAAATATTTTTTTCTTGCCATTTAATTTTTAGAAGTTTAACTATGATGGGTATCTTGAGGTGGATTGCTTCATGTTAATTTTATTTGGAGTTTGCTGAATTCCTACTTTTATTTCTCTTGCTGATTTAGAAAACTTCTAGCCATTATTTCTTCTTCTTCTTCTGCTTCTGCTTCTGCTTCTTTTTCTTCTTCTTCTTCTTCTTCTTCTTCTTCTTCTTCTTCTTCTTCTTCTTCTTCTTCTTCTTCTTCTTCTTCTTCTTCTTCTTCTTCTTCTT